CATGAGACGCATCTCAAGATTTTCATGGATGGCCAAACTAATCAAGTATCTGAAAGTAATTGCGTCTATAACAGGGGAATATGTTTCATCATAATCGATCCCAGGCCTCTGGGAGAATCCCTGTGTTACAAGGCGAGCTTTATATCTTGTGATCTCATTTTTCTCATTTCTTTTTCTGACAAAAACCCATTTGTATCCAATAGGTTTTATGTCTTTGGGTATAATGGTAATAGGTCAAAAAACCTTTCGTTTATTAAGCGAATTTAACTCGGCTTGAATAGCACCTTTCTACTTGTCCCAATCATGTCTTTTCTGACATTCAATCATAGATTTTAGTTCAGGATCCTCAACTTCTTTGTCAATTTTTTGTGATACCATATATGCGAATGCATCATCAATGATCTCATCACGCTTCCAAAGTTTCCCATTATTTACGTAATTGATGGAGATTTCAATATTTTCATTTCGTTCTGAAATTTTTTTATCTTCTTGATTCTTTTTCAAATTCGAATCTTGAGTTTCTCTTTTCTTTTGAGGATTCTTATCTTTAGACCCCACTGGTCTTCCTCGTTTCAAGCGTGCCTTTAATTCATTTGGCACATCGTCATTTGTCATTTCTTTTGTAATCTCAATTCGAGCAGGGGCATTTATAGCTGCAACATGTGATTTTGTCACCCTTTTTGTGTCAGTAAATGCATCTAGCATTTGATTTGCAATATTCTGCAGATGTATGATCTTTTGAACTTCTTGCTCTCTTTGTTTGGTGGGAGGATCAAGATATGATAGTGATGATGTTCTCCATGCAATATTTCTTTCAATTGATTTTTCATTCCCACCTAAAGGGGGAAATAATTATTCATTAAAATGACAATCATCAAACTGAGCTGTAAAATCATCACATGTTTTTGGCTCAAGGTATTTTATTATTGATGGAGATTCATATCCAACATATATTCCCAACCTTCTTTGAGACCCCATTTTTGTACGTTGGGGCGGAGCAATTGGTACATACACTGCACAACCAAAAATTCTTATATGTGCAATATTTGGTTCTCGACCATATGCCAGCTGTAATGGCGAGTATGTATGGTGTGCACTTGGTCTTATTCGAATTAGATTATCTGCATGCAGAATAGCATGTCCCCATACTGAAGTGGGGAGTTTTGTCCTCATTATCAATGGTCTGGCTATAAGCTGCAGTCGTTTAATCAATGATTCTGCTAGACCATTTTGAGTGTGAACATGTGCTACAGGATGTTCAACATCAATTCCCACTGCCATACAATAATCATTAAATGCTTGAGATGTAAACTCTCCAGCATTGTCAAGTCTGACTCTTTTGATAATATAATCTGTAAATTGAGCCCTTAATTTGATAAGTTGGGCAAATAATTTAGCAAATGCCACATTTCTAGTGGATAACAAACTCACGTGAGACCATCTACTAGAGGCATCAATTAACACCATAAAATATCTGAATGGACCACTAGGTGGATGAATAGGTCCACATATATCACCATGAATCCTTTCCAAAAATAATGGTGATTCATGTCCGACTTTAGTATGTGATGGTCTTATTATCAATTTCCCTTGAGAACATGAGGCACATGCTAATTCATGTGTTTGCAGTATCCTCTAATTTTTTAATGGATGCCCACTAGAATTTTCAATAATTCTTCGCATCATTATTGAGCCAGGATGACCAAGTCGACCATGCCAAAGTTTAAACATTTCAACCGACTGTGAATTTGTTGCAACATAAGTCTCGATAATATGAATGCAGGTGTTATATAAGCCTGATGATAAAGCTGGTAATTTCTCCAAAACACATTTATTTCCCGCAATATTTGAGGTAATGCAAAGATATTCAACTCCCAATTTATTCATTGTTTCAACATGGTATCCGTTTATTCGGATATCTTTAAAACTCAACAAATTTCTTGTTGATTTTGGGGAGAATAATGCATCATTCAATGTAAATTTTGTACCTCCCATCATAAAACATATGGCTTTTCCAGAACCCTCAATTATCTTTGCATTTCTTGATATTGTGTTTACTTTTGCTTTATTTAATTTCAAGTTGACGAAATATTTTCTGTCCTTGAGTATAGTATGAGTAGTGGCACAATCTGCAAGACATATATCTACATTTTGGATTCGAGATCGATCCATGATCTAAAATAAAAACAACATTTATTATTGATTAAAGTCGAAATACAGATAAAAACACACACATACAACAAAACTTAGAAACCAATAAAAAACATGATCATCAGTTATTCTCGTGGTCATTTCCAGCTCTGTCTTCAACTACCGCATCAGCAAAATCCAGGTTCAATATGTCATTGATGCCATATTCATCATCCACACGTGGTGAATCGTTTTTCAGAGGGTTCTCCAACCATAAAATTGGTTTCTATATTCTTATCTTTTGATTTCTGGGAATTGTTATAATTATCAACAACTTGTCTCGGAGCACGACAATTGCGTGCCCAATGTCCCGTCCTTCCACATTGATAACATGTCTTTTCATCATTATTCTCCGTCACATTATTCTGTTCAAATCTTGGCTAGAAATTTCTTCCCCTTTCATAATTTTGGGCATAGTTACGGCCTCGTCCACGATTATATCCTCGGCTCGAGTTATACCCTGGGGGAATTTTGTGGCCTCGTCCAAACTGGACCATATCCACGGCCACGTCCACGACCACGACCACGACCACGGCCACGTCCTGAGGTATATCCACGCACATGTGTTTGGCTGTTTTCATTTTCGGTTCCCTGTCTAGATATTACAACATTTATTTCAGGGACTCGTGGGTCTAGATTCATGGTTTTTCATCAACAGTTCATTATTTTGTTCTGCTAGCAACAAGCAATAAATTAATTCAGAATATTTCACAAAGCCTTTTGCTCTGTATTGTTGCTGCAAAAGTACATTTGAAGCGTGGAACGTGGACAATGTTTTTTCCAGCATATCGTAATCAGTTATGTTTTCTCCACATAATTTCAATACCGAGCAAATGCGGAACATTGCTGAATTGTACTCGTTTACAGTTTTGAAATCTTGGAAGCGTAAGTGCATCCATTCATAACGAGCCCGGGGGAGAATCACCGTTTTTTGGTGATCATACCTTTCTTTCAAGGCTTTCCAGAGATCCGCAGGATCTTTAACAGCTAAATATTCATTTTTCAATGCCTCATTCAAATGATGTCGCAGAAATATCATTGTTTTAGCTTTATCCTGTATTGATGAATCATTTGGGGAGATTATTGTTTTTTCCAATCCTCTTGCCGCCAAATGAATTTCGGCATCCAATGGCCATGAGATATAATTTTTCCCATCGAATTCGAGTTTGACCAGATTTGCCATGATAACTATAAAATAAAATATCAATGCTTAGATTCGAAAAAATTACATATACAATCATTAATTCGTCAAGCGTACAAAAGAGCAAATAATAAACACATTATACAAATGCCTAATACATAAATTATAAAATTAGTAGAATGATACAACATCGTGAATACTACTAAAGCATATATAATAAACAATATAATAGTAATTATTAGTAATGGATCAAACATTTTTTTTCTTAAAAAAAAATATATTTTGAGTGTTGGATTATGAAAATGAATTGTAGTGTTATATATAGATATTAGTAAATAGCCGTTGCAATATAGCCGTTGAAAATAAATTAATAATATAATATTTGCTAATTAATTATTTATGATTATAAAATTCTAATTAATCATATATTACCTTAAAAATTCACCGAGTCATTATGTGAATAACTTAATAAATATAAATAACAAATCAAATAAAAATGTCACTCCACACTACTTGATAATTCTTTTGGTGGTACAAGAATAAGCAGTTATAAATTTCACGCCACATTACTGGGTAAACTATTTTGTGGGTGTTAAGTATAAGTAATAATATTATTTATTATAACTTGAATAATAATTCATAAGCAAATTTAATAATATCATATCACCACATATTATTGGCTATGGCATAGCCTAATTTGCCAATAATAATGGTAATGTGTAGATAAAATCATATTTAGTATACACATATCCTTAACTGTGACAGAGCCTAACTTGTCAAGAATAATGGTAATATATTCATATTTAGTATATTCATACCACATATCCTTGACTGTGGCAGAGCCTAACTTGTCAAGAATAATGATAGTATATTCTAATTTAGTATATTCATACCACATATCTCTTTGATTGTGCCAGAGCGTAACTTGTCAAGAACAATGATAATATTATATTAGTAAAATATACTAATTTTATGTAATACATATATATATATATATATATATATATATTCCTACCTTTCTGACCGAGTAGAGCGTTCATGCTAATAACGTGTTATAAAATGCGAGGAAGATAAAGATCACAATGTAAAAAACCGGATCTAAATTACAAGACCTTTTCTTCTTTCTCTTTTCATGTTTTTCGTACAACTATTACACTACTTCCCTTGCCTTTTATAGGCAAAATTTTGCACACATTTTAATGCACTTATTCACACATTTTTAGGATAATGTGATAAAAGATAATAGTGGTAAAATTCCACTTGGTTATAACACTTATGAAATTTTCACATGATTTATTTACCAATATGTATATTTATAGATAGATTTATTTGTGTGGTGGATAATTCCTAACATTACAAAATATTCAACACAAAAGCGACAAAACCTTTGTCCTACTCGAATCCCCTTATTTCGTTTGAATTTTCGCCCTTTTACTTTTCCTCTCTTCTCTTCTGTACTTCCTTTTCCTTTATTTATAATAATCTATATATCTCTGTAGTTATCCATTTCTGTTCCATCAAGCATATATTCAATCTCTCCTCGAGACTCCCGCCATCGAAATTGCAAAGAACAACCCCAAATTTCAGAGCAATTTAAAGGACAATTCTTGTTTTTTACTTAACAAAGTTAAATTCTGATTGGAATCGAAGGTGTTTAAGGTTGTTACAGATGGCATCGTCGAAGGTGATGGCTTCGTGGTCGCCGACCAATTCGGACCGCCCACGTCATCCCTCACCGCCTCGGTCGAATCTCGACCCCGATCCGACCCGGGGTTTCGGCTCCATGAACTTCGACGACATACTCAGAAACATCTGCTCCGATTCCCAGCCATTTGCGCTCGACGGCGACGGCGGCGGACTGGGGGATGGTGTCCGGGAGGAGACGGTCGCCGAGGTCTGGAGGGATATGGTGAGCCACGGCGCCGCCGCCGGAGGAGCGGGCGACGGCCCAGCCATGACTCTGGAGGATTTTCTGACTAAGGCGGGGGCCGTGGATGAGGAGGATGTTAGGGCTCCGGAGATGGCGGCGTTGCCTCCGCCGCCAGCTGGTGGGTTTGTGATTGAGGCGGCGGTGATGAGCCCCGCTGCTGGTGTCCCAGCGGTTCAATTTGCTCCGGTGGAGCTTGGGAACGGGATAGCGGCGTCGAGAGGCAGAGGCAGTGGGGGCGGAAGGGGGAAGAGGAAGGCGGCTGTGGATCCGGTGGCGCTCGACAAGGCCACGCAGCAAAGGCAGAGAAGAATGATTAAGAACAGGGAGTCAGCTGCTAGGTCCAGGGAACGAAAGCAGGTATTGAGCACATGTTTAATTACTGAATCAAGCTTAATTTTTTAGCTTGAGCTTGAGCTTTCTGATTCTGTTATTTTTCCCTATAATGTTGCTTTTTCTTCCCCTCGGCCTTGCAAAGGCTTACACTGTGGAGTTGGAGACATTGGTGACACAGCTGGAGGATGATAATGCTAGGCTTCTGCAAGAAGAGGTATGTATCCTTGTCATTTTCGAGCACTTTTGGTTCTTCTAAAATTTTTGTATGATAGAGCCCTTGATTGGCATTTAATTTAAATCTCTCGGATGAATTTTGTGATGTGATTATCAGTCGATTCTTCATACGCAGAATGAAAAGTATCACGATCATCAAATGAATGAACTCTAGCCTCTCCAAAAAGACTTCTAATCTCTGATCACTATATGTATGCCATGCTTCAATAGGGCACTGTAAATTTTGTTACATTTCCTTCTCTAATAATGAATAACAAGTTTTGAAGCCTTCTGCAAAGTCTTCCTTTCTTTTGATTTTTTATTTTTCTCCTCCTTTGATTAATAAGTTCCTGCAATCTATGCCTTCATCATGATTTTGTAGAGATGAAAGTATCTGATACTGATTCTTGTGTGTACTTTCTTGATAGTTACTCGTCGTGAAACACTTTGTGACAGTCATGAATGTTTATAAATGAATCTCTTCTTTTGCAGGCTGAGTTAAACAAGGAGAGATATGAGCAGGTAAATAATTTTGCATAATCTTGCAATTGTTAATTTGTTAATGGTTCATCCAGTTTTTCTGCATAATCTTGTCCGTTGCTACTTCACTACAAAAAGTATGATTGGATAGCCTCCTGTTTATACATTGTTAAAATATTATGTTTATGAAGGAGGATATCTTCCCTGTAAAGTGGTTCTGTATTTCATTTACGCTTCACGACTACTGTCAGATCACCTAATGGGTCAAAATAGGTTGGTTAGTGTTTAGTATAATTTTGGGTAT